TTCACAAACCCTCCAGAAAAGAGGCCTAGGAGCCACAGGCACTAATTTTCCACCTGCAAACACATTCATTCCCACACTTTACAGGTGCAGCCATCCCATTCCAAACACTGTTTCCTTTCACAGGAAAGCTGTACAGCACATTCTTCTGGGAATATGCAGAGCTGACAGCTGAACTTGAGGCAAGGGCCCAATGTAGCACAGCACAGATGCTGCAGTACGTCCCTCCCTACAGAGCTGTGCACACCAGACTTACCAAGCACAGCACCATGGGGACCCAGCCCCATGGGGGGACCCAACCCCATTGTGGCACCCAGCCTAGGAACTGCTCTCATTTTACAGGATTATGTCCCAGTTCACAACAGCACCAACACCATTGGATATTACTGAGTACAAAGTGCATAGTAAGATACCGAAAACTTCTTCCAAGAAAGAAAATAGAAAACCAGACCAACGCACAACTTCATTCCTTCATAGGAGGTAGAGCAGTATCATATGCTAAGATAGAGATACTGCGGGGAGCAAAATGTGACTTCAGTTTTCCCACAGGACTGTGGGGAGGAGGGGAAAGAAAAAGGCCATGGATTATATGATACTTGTGCAGAAAGCAGCATCGTACCCACATTTTCAGAAAGCCACAAGAGTGTGTGGGTTCTCTGTTTTTGGAGCAAGAGCATAGTGAAAGCAAGCTTGTTTACTTTAGACACTGTACAAAGACTTTTTCTTTCTAAATAAATGGTGGAAAGGATGCCTCCTCTCTGAGGAGCTAGCAGAAAATAAAAGGCAGATTTATATGTCTAATCTATGCAAATATCTACTCTACAGGGCATCACAAAGACTGCTTTATATCAGACAGTATGCAGATCCCAGGTGCTTTAAATATGCCAAAGGCATGCGCAGCATCTCCACCTGCGATGGCTGCTCACTGAGAACAGCTGGATGGCTAAAAAGAGGTTGCCTGAGTAGCCTTCCATGAAAAATGCCTTTTCCTAATGTGCCAATCCCCATATTCCCATCCAAATTACTCCCTGCTGTAGCTGCCATCGAGTCTGAGGATGAGGGGTTTTTTTTGTTGGTTTGCTGGTTTTGGAGGTTTTTCTTTTTAATTCAGTTTATCACAAATTCTGTTAGAATTTTTCAAATTATAGCAATAACAATATGGTGAAACTCCTACTGACACCTAAAGAAATTTTCATGGGGTTTTAATTAATAATGCCCCCTGGGAATCATCTGTGATTCAAACTGAACAAGACTGATGATGTCCTGCTGTTCCAATGATTAACTTGGTCCAAAGAAAACATTAGTGGTGTTTTCATATTTAAGCAAGTGTCAGTTTTGTAAAAAAGAAGGGAAAACCTGCAAGCCAAGTCAGATCTGACCTAAACAATTAGCGTGTCACACAGAGTACTCTTTGCCTCATGTTTTCTTGCAGGCCTCAGAGGCTGCCTTCAAAGAGCTTAACACCTGAATAGACTGCTCTGACAGTCTAGTCTTTTCATTTTCTTTCCCAGTGATCCCACAGGCCCTTCTTTCTCATATTATCAGAAATAATTCTTACAAACTAACTACAGGCATCCCACATTAAGGCACGGTAGTACTCGTTTATATGACAGGTGCCTGCAGCTCTACAGGTCCTCAACAACCAGTTACATGGCCAATCCAGGTAAACTATTCACCCACTCAGTCACTCAGCATTCAAACACAATGTGAAACTATGAGATCATTCAGGCACAAACTGAGATACAAGAAATTCCTTGTGCCCCCTTCTTTATTACAAGGGTGACTGAACATCGGAACAGATTTCCCAGAGAACATGTGGAATCTCTCCCTCCATGAATACATTCAATACCCAATGGGACAGTGTTCTGGAGCTATCTTCTCTAGTTGACCTTGCTCTGAGCAGACAACCTTCCAACTTCAACTATTCTGCAACTGCTGTTTGTATTTTGCTTCAGCAAGTCAAGCAACACTCACACACTGTACCTCTGAGGGACAGTACTGACTTCTTACTACATTACTATTGCACTCCTATCCCAGCATGTCACATGGTTGCAGACAGGTGTCGATAGAGTCTGTTCAGCTGGGGGACATAGCACTTGGAGCAGTGTTATGCACCCTTATTTCTGCATACACACTTGGCTTATGCAATACAGGAGCTTACCAGCAAAACCATGAAGAGCTCCTGACCACTACCAACACCTGCAGGCAGCTAAAATCCAGGGATCTGCAGGCATAATTATTAGCATTCTATACTTCCAGCAGTAATGATAAAATGTAAAGGAGTTATGATTTTATAAATGTTGTCATGTTTTTATAAAGATTCATCCTGTTGGTCCCAATTGCCAAACAACAGCAGGAGACTAAGTAGTCCACAGATTGAAGAGTCAGATGGCCCTTCAAATAAAAAATGATGAAAGAACACTACCTCAGAACTACTGACCAACACTCTAAGTAATGCTCCTCTCAAGCAACAAAGCCTAAAAGCCTTGGATCATTTTTCCCTTTTTGCCATGACAGTGCATGAGACACAGGAGGCTGCAGCCACTGGAAGCGGGAAGGAATATACAATTCAGTGACAGATCTCTCAAAAACAGCTATCAAGTCTATAATCCTACAGATCAGAGGCAGAATAAACCAGTTCAGGAAACCAACTCCCTGGTTTCTGAATACTTTTGGATTATGTCAGTGTTTGCTGAAGCATTCTCAGAAGACTTTTCATCATCTTCAAGGAATATTAATCAACATGGAAATTCTGGAGTCTACAATTAATTAAAAGCTTGGACTGAGAGATGGGTTTCACCTCAAGCTCCAAACACAGTCAGGCAAGCTCAGGTCTGGAGACATTTCCACTACAGTTGCAAAGGTAACAGGTTCACTGCTAGGAATACTGTCACTAGTTTTGCAGCTTTGGCCTTTGGTGCTGGTTTCATTTTGGGGTTGGGCTTGTTTGTGGTGGTTCTGCAGCTTCACAGAAGGAGATGAATTGTCCCATCACAAGTTCTGCATTTAAGACAGATTTGTCATTTGTACCTAAATATAAGTCAAATACACAGGCACTGAGTGGGCAAGTCCAGTGCCTCCCTCACCATCACATGTAATTGTATCATGATTAAGCTGAATCCTAAAAGCAGCCAGTATCAAATTCAAAACAAATGTTTAATCAGTTTACCGAGAGCAAACAAAGCCAAACACACCCCACAAGCCCCCATCCATCCATTAATCACGTTTTAGACTAAGCCTTTCTCTGCCATTTATTTCAGAAGAGTCCTCCATGTCCTCACCATTCATTGCTTCAAACATGAATCTACCTAGAATTGCAGAGTTGAAGGTTTGATTCCATCACACCATCTACACTGCAGCAATTCCACCTCATGAAACAAACAAATCTTAACAGGCTATTCTGTATCTGAAATCCACTAGTAAACTGCTGGCTTTGCTACAGACATTTAAAGAAACCTAAGAGCTACTTATAAGACTCTGCAGCTTATGTTATCAATCACTTCAGAAAGCAAAACGATTCAGCAGCTACTCCAATTGAGAGTGCAGTGAAGTTCAATTGTCGCTGAAATGTTTTCTTATTACCAGCCTGGGCAGAATGAGCAAATATACCTCTGCAGGTGAGCTATGAATGAGCAATCAGCACTACAGGCTGCAGCTTGAAGAGATAATAGCATCCAAGTAGCTACAATGCTTTCTTGCACACAACTAGGCCAGGATTGGGCTGACAAAATGAGCAACAAACACTTCAGACATTCCGTCTGCATGCTAAATAATTTTGAAGGAAAAGGTATGAGGCTTCCCTCTCCCAACACATACAAAGGAGGAACACAGATACAGACAAGCAACTATGTCTACTCTCAGAGAAATTTAAGTTTTATGATGCTTTTATCCCACTGTTTGGCAAGAATTCAGCATATACAGTAGTCAACAGATGGCTTGACAGCTGCCATTTAAAGAAACAAATATTTCACATTCTGCTAAAGTCAGTTCTCCAGTTCAGTGTCAAGCAAAACTCCTTTACAATACACAACCTGCAATATAAACATGCTTCACATCTTGCACACCTTCTAGAATTAAAGCCACTCTTTCTCCACTATTTATACATTTTTTTAGATACTGTGAGTATGCAGTGAATTTCAGGTTTGCAGCAACGAAATTTTTTTTCAGTGGCTTCTGCAACCCTGTAGCCCTCATCCACTTATTCCAGGTTTTACCTCTAGTTGTACTGATGCAATTTTTTTCTAGATCAGATAAATGAAATAATTTTGGTTAAAAAGAAAGCAAGTCCACCTCCCCTTTTTGGATGAGGTGGGCTGTTTTTTCCTCACTCTCTTATTATTTTCATTAAATTTAAATATAGCACAGATGTGCAAAAACCACACAGTGATGTGGTTTACAACAACAGCCCCTCAAAATATTTGTACTTTTACAACTGCCACACAGGGCTCTGAATAAAAGAGTAATTCCCACTGTAGTTGTTTGCAAAGGTACGCCCTGATCATAATTAAAGGACTAATACCCTCTAACAGTTTGAATCTTTTTGTGAAGCATAAGGAGAAAAAACGAGAGTGCAATGGGCAAAACCCATAAAAAATGCCAAAGTTCACTTCCAGCAAAGCACAGGTAGGCTTATGAATAAGAAACTAAAACTCTATATAGAGGTTCTTTGCCTACAGCTTCTTTTGCATCAGTAAAGAAAAAAAGTATGGTGAACATGGTTCTTTTTAAAATTTATGTCAGGCTTTTATATATGTAACTATTACTCCCTTTTTTTCTGCAGTTGGTCATGGATAATCATTCACCAGTACAGCTTCTGGGGTTTTTTTCTTCCCCAAGCAGGCATAACCAAGTGGTGACTTCTCTCATTTTTTCTCATTTGGGCAATCATCAGGAAAGGAAAGAACCAGAAGATACCTGAGCAAATACTGAGTGCCAGAAACAGAGCAACTGTCCATTCCCTCCCAACTATATCACAATATTGTGAACAGAGGGAAACCACATACCTTGTTACCTCCTGCTGCAGTCGGGAAACACTGGGCACATAGAACATTACCCCAAAGAAAAGCAAAGGCTCATTGGCAAATTTGTCCAGCTGCTTCTTCAGAGGTTTTTCCAGTTCAACCCAGCGGTCTTGCTGGCTCTTGCTGAGAAACCAAAGGCCGAAGTAGTGAGTCTAGATAAAGAAACAAACTAGTGTCAGTTTACCTTTTTCAGCTAGATTACACACATGCAATAACACAAATGCAAATAAGAACAGATGGCATTGTGTGCATCTTTACATGTGCAAAATCAGAGTAATTTCTTTTTTACTGCCCTTTTTTATTTTTAGGACAATTTTAAAGACAATGACAAATTAATATTGCAATATAATATACTTCATGGAGTACTATCTGCCCCTACCATCTCTCCGTAATGCATATTGAAGAGCTGTACTTGACATTATGACACAGGTGATATAAATGATTTACAGAAAGTGTCTGAGTCTTTTTTTTGTTGAAAGACACCTGTGTCTCACGAACAGGCAGCAAATACTAAGTCTGAATTAAAGCACAAAGGCTTCATGAGACTTTGGATCAGCCTCACTGCACACAAAGGACAAGGACTCTTCCAACTGTATTTAAAAATATGCAAACCCACAAGCATACGTCAAAATATATCTACCAATACCAGAACTGTTTACCAAATACAGATCACATTTACTTCTTTTCTTTAATGCACTCACAAGGTATTATCATGGACAAGTATACACATAAAATGTGCATATCACACACAAGTTGTTTGCTCTAGGCTCTACAGAAATACCAGGTTGAAAACCTCAACTGTTCCCTATGCACTGTAAATCTCAACAGCCGTAGTACCTACTGTATAAGTCACATGGAACTGCTGCTGGTGGAGAGCAATTAATGTGGAACAGCATTCAGAAAGAGAGCTGCAAATGCTACAAATTAGTAATAAGCAGCTGAAGGAATAGTCAATCCATCCATGAAGGATTTTATTGAAAAGTCCTTAAACATCAAGTACTATGACTACATATCTGAAGAAAAGATGAAAAATAGTGTTTGTATTTAACAAAGGAATTAATTCAACAGTTGCTTGGAAATATGACTGTAGACCTAACCATGAAGTTTGCATCAACACTTTTTTCCTTCAGTATTTCAGCTGAGAGCATCTGGATATTTCCAGCAATATCTTCAATATAAAATACCACTCTGTGCTAACACTGGAATGAATGAAAGCATGAGAGGAACTTTCGAGGACACCAAGTAGATTTAGGGCCTGAAAGCATGATCATTACTATTTGTGCATATTTCTCTTTTTATTTCAATAAACTTTCTTGGTGTTAAATCCAATTGACTCCTTACTCAATGAAAACTTTCCAGTAGTTTCCATTAGATCAAATTAATCCTTAAACAAATAAAACGTTTTCTTGTTATAGCTTAACTCACCTGGACAACAATCCTTCCAGAGGCAGTCACAATTCTTTATACATAGCACCACATTTTAAATAAAGATCCTTGTGAGGAAGACTAAAAAGATCCCTAATTTGCTGTTTTATAAGGTTTTCATTTGAAATTACTTTTAATACATTCAAAATGTTTGGTCTTGTTACCAGCCATAAAGATTTCACCAACTGGACTTCCCAGATGTTCCCTCTTAAATATAAAGTCTTCAAAAGTAGCTGGGAAATTGCAGATGTTATGCTTTGCAAAATCCATCAACAACAGCCCATTTCACCTGGGTAATACTTCTCTAATAACCATTGCAAGCACCATGACATAGCACACAACGCAAGGCCAACAAATGCCATACCAAAAATTTTAAATGCTTACACGTGACAGCAAACGGGCAGGGGAAGCACTGCTCCAACTACTTTACAGCTGAGGGCATGCAAGAGACAATCATGCAAAACTCTGAATGGGAGCATGGGAGTATTTACTTTAGGGTCTCTTTCCATACATATTTTCAACTTCGGAAAACATCCAGACTAGCATCTAACTATGCTGATAACTAATCCAAGTCGATTTCCCAATTAAGCCTGGCAAACAGCTTGAGCACTGCTCAGTCTGGTACAGTAAAACAAGCAAGTAAAGGTATCTTCAGTAAGTCAATCATTCTATCCAGGGCACAAATAAATCAAGAAGTCAGCATCTCTGATAGGATAAACTTCAAACTCACCAATTTACTGATACATGCCTACTCTCCCCTTGTAGTCATCAGTAGATTAAAAAGTTCTTTCTGATGAGCTCACCATGATAGTACTTAGATTAAAATGAAGGTGGGAGGGACAGTGGAGGCAGCAAAGAAAAGGAAAAGGCAGAAGGCAGAAAAACGCCCCTTTTTTTACCACTTTGTATGAGAAACTCTTTAACAGAGTAACACTTGAAAATCACTGCAGGGCAGCTCATCCTCAGTAAGAAACACTACAGGGTCGTGAAAACAGAGCTTCCATATTACCCTGAAAAGTAAACATTCACATCATTTAGTACCCAAATTTGCAGTGTCAAGTGCTTGTAAAATGTCTAGCAACTAAGACGTTTTGGACTCTAAAGTCTAAGACAGTTATTCAAGGAATTAAGGGTATTGCAATTAAACAGCTCAAATGAGCACAGGCCCTCTCCTCTGAGTGGGAGCTGGGAGACAAGATATGCTACAGTGGAACGGTTCTTCAAGTACCAAATCCAGAATCCTGAATCAAATCTAAGGAACAAAAAGTAAAGGGAATTCAGTGTTGAAACTTCTAGACTACAGCAGATACCACGGACCAGCATGCATTTTGCCTAACTAAAAGACAAATGTTTCCCTGGAAAGCAGCCTGGAGAGTACCAAGCAATTGCAGATGAAGCACAGGAGCTAACAGCAGAGCAGAGCTCAAGTCACAAATGCATGCACTTTGGAGAAACAACCCACACAGTTATCTTGAACATCAGTTCCCAGTGCCAGGAACTTTACTTCTTGAAAATGTCACTGTTTTTTAAGAACCCACAGTGGCAAAGGACTTCTGTAGCCACCATTGTGAATGCCCAAAGAGACTCTCTCTCCTAGGAATATTAGTAATCCCCAAACAGGAACAGAGGAACACGGGACTGGAAACAGTCAAGTTTTGTATGCTATGACCTTACAGAAAGCCTTACAGAATGCGAGTCATGTGTTGCCATGTTCTCCAGTCCACAAAGCATTTTTGCAGTACAGATACCCCATAAATTTAGACAAGGGGATATAAAAATTGATTTTCTTTATCTATAAGCAGTTGATTAAAAACTTGGTGGATTCCACAAGTTAGTTTGTTAGTCCATCTCTACAAAGTGAACCACTGACTTCACTTTTCATGGAATAATTATCTACACCTACTTGTAGGCAGGCTGTGAAGTAACATATACCACTCTCAAGGTTTTAAAATTTGTCTCACCCACCACACATTAATTCATACATGGTAGAAGGAAACTGACCTACACTCCTCCAGAAGCTGTGGTCTTCTGCTAAAGCAGAAAACAAGAACCACAGCACCTGCATGCCTCAATGACACTGTGAGAGAAGGTGTCTATGGAAACACCAGGAGTCAGAAAAGAAAGCTGGATACACAAAAACTGTCCTGAGGAGTCTTAAAATAAATTACATTATTGCTGCCAGTTCAGAAGACAACATATTAATGTTGAACTTGGACTTAGCTATACTCCCAAGTCCAGAACCTGCCTTTATGTCAGGCAAAACAAGTAGAACTTTCAACAACAGGAGATGTCAGACAATTACTAAACCAGCAAATGTCATTCAAAAAAATCCATCAAGACCAGCTCTGTGTTTATTAAAGCATCTGATTAAGCAGCCAGCTAAATATTTATCCTTGAGAAAGAGACAGAGTCCCAGCTCCTCCAGGCAAAAAGCATTAAGCTGCTATGCTGGGGCACTTGCATAGAGGGCAAGGCACCATTTACAGCAGCCAATTATTCATAGAAGGTCTTTTGTCCAAGCACTGCCTGAACCCCATCCCAGCTTTGCTGGCAAGACGAGTCAAAACACGACAAATTTTGAGGCAACCTGTCTGCCAAACCCAGGTTTTCGGTCATGCCCTACAAGGAAGGGGCACCTTCTAAGGCACAAAAAATAAAGGTTAGAATGGCAGCAAAAATGCCCCCCTCTGCACAGCAGTCAGCATCTGCCTGCAGTGTGCCGCCCATCATCCTCCTGCTTTGGTTTGCAGTTTACAGGATCATAGTGCTGCAAGTACCACTGTGAAATCTAGCTCAAAAGAATAATTCTGGGGGAAAAGAACCTTCTTGCCCTCTCCCTCACTTAAAATATGTCAGAACATAGCATCTTTAAACATTTTTAGATTTTAGAAAGTGAATTAAGAAGAGAAGGAAACAGAAGAACTTGCAACAGATTTGTACAAATTACTCTGCTATTTCAAGCAGTTCACTTAGTCTTACTAGAAAGGAAAAATGCCCTTGTATTGGGAAAAAGATCCTTTTTATAACCTGTACACATACATACAAGACTATAAAACTGACATTACTGACATGGTCTTTCCTCT